AGGGGTGGAGTTCCCAGCACTGTTTTTTTAAGTTATAGGTTGAATGATATCAGCACAATCACAGATAATGATTTTCTAACCATCAAGCCAAGCCATTTATTTCATTCTTGGTTTTTTCTCATGAATTACATTTCAGAGTGGTCTTTGATTTATCAAGGTACTCAAAGCAGCCAAAATATTCTAAAAATTATAATGTGTTTCAAAAGGAAAATCCATAAAGGAAATACTAATTTCATACGTGCTTTGTGCCAAGTAATGCTTTAGATACTCCTATCTCACAAGGCTCAAGACTGATGACTTCTCAGTCTTGGTGGAGGTTATAATCTAGTGGCAAAATAAAAAAAATCCAGAAAACTAAAAACAAAACACAGTGAGAAAGGAATAAAAAAGAAAAATGAAGGTCTTTCCACATAGTAACCAGTACCATCAAGAGCTGCATGTAGGGTGAGATATGAGTAACTCAGGGTGGAAATGGGCAGTGTAGGATGGAAGTCAGGAATGCTTCTTTGAAGAGATAACATTTGAACTGAGTCACGAAAGGAACTGAGGAACCAGCTGTGTGAGAACAGGCCTGCACAGGGAATGCCTGTGGCAGGTGCAGGGACAGAACAATGCAAGTATCCTGTGTGGTAAAACAGCTGGGACAAGTGACAGGGACCATGGTGAGGAGCTGGATTTGACATCTAAAGGTCTGTGTTTCTAGAAGCTTCCTTGGTGGACTATGTGTGAATGAATCAAAGCAGAACAAGGGAAAAGGCAGGAAGACCAGGGAGAAAGCCACTTCTGGGGGCTTCTAGGCAAAAATGGTAACAGGAGAGTGAACCAGCCCAGTGAACAGAGTAAACTTCTGTGTGTAATAGGAAAACACTGCCTTGGCGTATAGGTATTCCTTTTGGTGCAGCTGTATCTGAATGGCAGAAACAGCTCTTGTTCTGTGGTGTTTCTTAACCACAGGCAACTTCCTCAACTGCCCTCCTCATCCATATTAGGGCACAAGCCTCTGAAGTGCAAGGCTTTCTCCCTTTCCTCCTCAGCCTCATTCTTGGGTCTTACTTGTCTAGGAAGTGCTGTTCTATATTCAGCACCTTGTGGGTGCTGAATAAATATTGATTAAACAAAGCAAGTAATGAATCATGTCTGCAGTACGTGTGGGCGCTTGGAAATGTAGAAACCTAACAGTGAGTTGGATCCTCCAATCAGAGGGTAGAAGCTGGATTCCCAGTGGTAGAAAGCATAGGGCAGTTCTTCTTACTAACTCCTGAAGGGTCTTGGGATAGCACTGGTCATTTGGATGCCTCTTTCCTGGGCTTAGACCATCTACCTCACATTGCCTGGGTCAGAGACTCATGAGCCATGTCTGAAGTAGGAACCAAGGAAAGGATCCATATGCTGAGTGCATGCAAGGTTGCTTTGGGTGAGCCACCCCTAAGTTCTGACAGTTTGTATGGATAAAGCAGTTAATGTGAGGGACATTAGAGATGTATCTATAATTCACAAAAAAAGGTGAAGCAAATCCCACCCCCTCCCTCAGTATGTACAGCCGTACTGTGTAGCAGGGATTGGCCAACTTTTCCAACACAATGTCAGAGAATAAGTATTTAAAAAATGATGTCTCCATCTTAACTGCTGTGACCTGTTACAGGTCTGTTTCTGTATCATAGGCAACAGGAAAATAAACAGCCACCTGGGTTCAGATATAACTGCTTCTGGATGCCAAACTTTGAATTCTAGATCATTCCCCCTTGTTACAAATTCTTCTTTTCTTCAACTATTTAAAAACAGAAAAGAGAATCTTTATCTCAGGCAGCATGATACCCTTAGGTCTTGGTTTGCCAAACCAAATTGTGAAAGGTAGGACAGACAAAAAAAGAGAAAGAACAATGGGACTGAATACTACCAATAAACATACATGTTATATCAATCAGCATTCTCTTTGATTTGTCATGTGCTTAATGCAATGTAAAATTTAGCCATGCATAGGGAATGACATTTTCTGATCTCAAATATTAAGTGCTATCAAATTATCTCTCAATAATCTGTACTAATTGATGGCTACTCTCCCAGCTGGCAACTGGCTTCTTCTAATTCTTGTTACATCTTCTGTACACTGAGGTCAGATGAGGTCTTCATCAAACACACCAGTGATTTGTTTTCTTCCCTGAGACAGACCAGCAACTTGCACTTAAAATAAGATGCAAATATCTCATCATGACCTTGCACAACTGCACCTGTGACCATTTTCTTGTCCAGCCTTTCCAACCTTCACTACTTTCTCGTTCAGGCATGGTAGCCTTCAGTCTTGGAGCAGATTTTCACCAGTTTCTGTCGTTTTCTTTTCTATTCTTTTCCTTTCTTTCTTTCCTTCTTCCTTCTCTTCCCTTCTCCTTCCTTCCTTCCTTCCTTCCTTCCTTCCTTCCTTCCTTCCTTCCTTCCTTCCTTCCTTCCTTCCTTCCTTTCTTCCTCCTTCCTTCCTTCCTTCTCCTCTCTCTGTCTCTGTCTCTGTCTGTCTGTCTGTCTGTCTCTCTCTTTCCCTTCCTTCCTAGTGTAGAGCTCTGATGGTGATTCTCTAAGCTATTTTTAGCAGTTCCTATCATGCCAGGTGTTTTAAGTGTGGAGAGAAAGAGAGGGAGGAAAAAGGCAGAAGGAAGCCATTTCTTAAGCCTGAAGACTATTCCAATGATCAAAATCCATTAGAGGACTTCCTAGTCATGGTTATGACTTTTCAGGCTTCCAGCTCGTAGGAATAAGAATCAGAACTGTTTCTTTACCCTCCACTGGAGGAGGTGTCTTCTCACAAGCATGCCAATGGTGTTTAAATGACTCAACCAAGATGAGCCATGGAGGAGCAGAGAAAGTCCAGAAGGCTGAGGAGCAGAGAAAGCCTCAGTCCCCAGGCTGTACTTAGTATCTGAGTGACTTTGGGCAGGAAATCCCTCATTCCCACACCTGGGTTTTTCCACCAGTCTTTGGCAAAGCTGCTCTTTGTTGAGAATTTCAAACTTGATTGTCACCTGGTGAGACGTGTCTCTGACAGTTCCAGCACATTTTTTTTCATCCCATTGGTGCATTTTCTCTGTAGAGCTGGTTTTTTCAATTCATGGATTAGCTTATTTGTTTACTTGTTTTTCCCTGACACTTCTAGTCAAAAGGTAAGCTCGCTTAGAACAAGGCAATTTATGGTTAATCACTGTTAAATCTCCAATCTTAGAATACCACTAACACTCAGGGTCATGGATTATTACATTTCTGCTGAATGAAAGGAAATAGGGTGAGTGTGTTACAGAATGGTGTGTTTAGAATCAAGCTAGTGTTTTATTCCATAGTAGGTAGACTGTGGAGAATGTGCAGGTGAAGAAAACTGTAGCCTTAAGAAATGAGCAAGGACTAGGACTTGGGCAGGTCTTAGGATATGCTAGGGTATTTGCTCTTCATTTTGAAGCTAGTGGCAGCCACAGAAGGGTTTTAAGTAGGCACAGGATAAAAGAGTTCAATGTCCTTTAAGCTTATTAGGTTGATCACGCTGGAAAAAGAGAAAGTATGTTTTTATGATCAAACCATTAAATATGGTGAAGGTCAAAAAAATCAAAGATAATACTTAACTTCCATGAACCTGGAAGATGCCAAAATCTGAATTCAAAATTTATATCAATGTCACACCTATTTATAATTGCCCATTTCCTTTCTGAGCTGGGGGTGGGGTTTAGTATCAATTGTCAGGCTTCTGAATGACAGAGTTTTGAGAAAAAAAATTCTCCCAGGTTCACCCATTTTGCTGCCATTTGACAGGAAGTCCGTTTGCTAGGTTTAGCTTGAGACTGAGAGATGAAAATGAGGATGTAGATTTTTTTCAAAATGCTGGTTTAACTTTGTACCTGCAGTTCAACCTCAGTGATGAAAGCCACCCACAGAAATTAAATTTCTGTATGAGATACACTTTTTTCAACATGTACCAACATTCGGTAGAAGACCTTTATAAATATAAAGGACAGACTGGAAGAATTATTTTCCTGATGTACATTAAATCTGTCTTCTTTCTTCCTTTTATTGTTCATAATTGTTACAGAAAGCCATCAACTCTTATACAGCTTTTCATGAACTCATGAAAGAAGGTGGAGAAATAATAAACCCTTAGAAGCTAGACTCCAGCTCTGCCCCCAAAGAGAGAAAGTTAACTGAAGTTTGAGGCTGTTTGAGTACAATGTCGGTACTGAAGACCATTTCCCTGACACAGATTTTCATTGACAAACTCTTGATTTGTTGGGTTAGCCTCCGGTTGTCTTTAGAATGGAAGAATGGAGAGATTACCTTCCTTTTAGGAGAAAACAAAGGCTGTCCACTGCCTATGGAGATCTCTGTGTAGTTATTTCTTAATCCTTCTAAAAAGTTTAAGATCACCACAAATGAGTATTGAATGGTTGGGACATGTCAGTTTTCATCATGATAACCAATAAGGTTTGTTTCCAAAACTCTCATGTCCTATTACCTTCAGGATCTTTCTAGATGGTGGTGTGCATTGTCTTCAAATAGGCATGTGTCTGACCATAAATCATCCCAGGAAGATATTCTTGCCTACACTGCTTTGCTCTCAAGCCTCAGCATTTCCTTACTAAAGGCCAACTGGGATTCTGAGTACTGTTTTTAAAAAGGTCTCATCTGTGCTAAGAGGTTGTAGTCTTTGCCACTGGTGGGTATGAGTTGCTTATGAAATTTAGGTAAGAAACGGGCTAAGGAAGGAAGTGCTCTGTGAATGCAGGAAAGGCAGTGCTTAGCTATCTCAACTCGGGTAGAGAGATGATCACCGGGAACATGACGCTGTGGCCAGGACCCTCGAATCCCCTCCTCTCCCAACCTGGGGAGGCCTGTGGAATACTATACAACCCGATACAGATGGCTGCAGCAATGGTATGATATAGGATAGCCACAGAGGGGTTGGTGATGGAGAAAGACAGTGACCTAATTGGTAGGCCCCTCCTGAGATTTGATGACTAGAAGAGACTTACTGAGAAGTCATCCTTGGGGAAGAACAGGAGGTCTTGAAGGGGATCGTTCCCATAGGTCTTTTCAAGTTCCTCAATGACAGCTTCATAATCCAAGGGCTCGAGAAGCCTAGGCTTTTCCTGCTGTGGAAAAAAAAAAGTATGATGTTAGTCACCTCATTTCTCCATGCTACTTCAAGGTCATTTCCTCGTGGTCACTGGGGCTTTGATATCACACAGTCCTTCTAATGCAATCACAGCTAGTCTGAGCATCTGAGACAAAGTCTATATAAAGAGCATTCCCAGATCTGAAATAATGAGATGGGATCTGGAAAGACCTGATATCACTCTCAATAATTCATGTTGTTTGCTCTGCATTTTCCAGGCTCTCTCTAGCTCACCTGTACGACAGATGTTTACGGAAACTTGATCTTTTCAACACAAGAAAAGCCCTCTGCAAACTTGTTATGGTATGAGGATGATCATCACTTTGGCAGAATGAAAGACTTCCTTGCAAGTTCTACTTTGTTCCCTTTGAAAGCACGACACCCTATTAGCAATCAAAGTATCCCAGCAGCCTTTGTTGTCACTGAAGCATGGATCCTGTGTCAGGATTAATTGCTTGGCTCTGAACCCCTTTGTCTCTACCAAGAGAAGCTGAGTCAATCTCCAATAGAGTTGAACAACACAACTATGACAGATACACTATGGGGAAAATGGACATATCTGTAAACATTATCCTGCTAACCACATGGCATTAACATTCCAAACCCAAGGGAAAATTGCTGGAGCCCTACAAATAACAAAATATTATACAACAGAAAAGCAAGGACATAACCTGAGTCTCTTAACCTTTGGTGGGTATAGGGAAACCAAATGGAAAGAATGAACTTCTGAGGGTTCTTTCGTGGAAGAAGACCTCAGAAGCATGACATGGTACCATAAGCTTTGAATGCTACAGAAATCTTGTCTTTTCTTTTCTTGAACTCAGGGCCTGGGTAGAACTAGGACCTGGGTGCTATACCCGAGGTGTTTTGTTTTATTTTTCCTCAAAGCTAGTACTCTACCAGCTGCGTCATAGCTCCACTTCTGGTGATTAATTAGAGATGAGCCTCATGGACATTCCTTCAACCCCCCCCCCCAGGCTTCAAACCCAAATTCTCAGATCTCAGCCTCCTAAGTAGCTAGATTACAGGCCTGAGCTAGCAGGACTTGGCTTTTCTTTCATTGGTGAATTCTCCTACCAGCCTCATGCTCCAGCCTAGGTGTACTTGGCAAAATAAACCACTTTCAGCTTTTATTTTATGGTCTTCTTTGAAATATTTCTGCTGGTAAAGTCCCCCAAACTTTCTTGGGCATTTAAAAAATTGCAGATAGGCTCCTGAAGGTAACAGTCAATGGCTCCATTGATAACTTTTCCCAAATATATATATAAAAAAAAACAAAATGTGGACCTAGAGGGCCAGTAACAGAGATCCCCTTACACTTTCTGCATTGAAAATAAATCTTAAATGCTTAAGTAAACAGAGGGTGATGTAAGGTGATTGTTCTCCTGGAAAAGCCCTTAAAGTAAAGTGGCTATGTTTAGTACATAAAAATGCAAAGCCACACAGTATGTTTGAAGAAGGGACCTATTTGCCCAGCACATAATCTGTTGTGAACGTGCTATGTTACATTGAGTATTCTGAGCTAGAAAATATGGAATAGCTCCTGTAACTAAAAACAGAAACAAAACAAAGAAAACATTGTGTGTGTGTGTGTGTGTGTGAGAGAGAGAGAGAGAGAGAGAGAAAAAGAGAGAGAGAGAGAGAGAGAGAGAAAAAGAGAGAGAGAGAGAGAGAGAGAGAGAATGTGCTGGGATCTGCGCTCAGGACTTGCAGTTTTTCCTTAGCTTTTTTACTCAAGGCTGGCATTCTTCTCCTGAAACCATAACTCAACTTCTAGATTTTCACTGGTCAATTGGAAATTGACTTTTTCTTGCTCTGGCTGGCTTCTAACAGTAATCATCAGATTTCAGCCTCCTGGTTAGCTGGGATTATAAACATGAGACACCAGCACTTGACTCAATATGTTTTTTTTTTTAGATTTCCTATATTTTGATGTTGTTATTCCCTTTTGACTTATTTTAAATTCCAATTCCTGACTTCCCCAAGGCAAAAGATCATTCCAAAGATCACAAATTAATAACTCCACAACTCCGTACAGATGTGGCTCCAGATGTCTGGTTGGCCGCCAACCTGTATTTTGCCTTGTTTGGTTTTACATTGGCTTTGAAGGTCTTTAAGCAGTGGTATTTCTCTCTAGTTCACCCACAGGCCTCAACAGTCTTATCTATCACTTCTCACCCCGCAACACCCCACATTTATATTGTCAAACTGGCCTTCTCGTCCTTTAACTCTAAATACTTCACTTATTCTGAAACTGCTGCTTTATTTGAGTACTATTGTGTACACATGAAATGTAGCAGATAAAACAAAACGCCTAGCCAGCCTTTGTCAGCTGGCTCTTATTTCTGAAGAGCATTTGTTGTTCACTCATGATCTTCTGCCTCTGTATAGGTTCTGATAGCTTTATTATAACAGATTATAACAGCCCGTGAAGTGCTTCCCCTTCCCCCCACCCCGGCTGCTTCTTCCTTGTACCATAGGAGCAGGATGATATGACTCTAGTGTGTGCTACAACTCATAGGTTTAAAGAGAAATGACATAAAGGTATTTTCAATGGCCTTCTACAATCAAAATCTCATTTTTAATCTCACACATGTTTGATCTCAAGCATTAATGAAGGACCTCGATGCAAGAAGATCTTTCAAAGAAGAACTTTTCCTGGGATCTAAATGTTCTCTAAAATTAATCATATTCGCTTTAGTATAATAAGGTAACCCAGGATCCTACGACAAAGGTTATTGATAAAATAATAGAGAAAATACTCTTCTTGGCACACCCTGTGAAAGGTAAAGCTTCTTATCTACAAACTTATGATGCACGGACTGTCTTGAATGTTACGCATTGATTAATAAAGATGGCTGGGAAGACAGCACTGCATTAACTTGTCCTCTCAGACACCGAAAACTCACAAAGGAGATATGCTATTTGGTATAGCCAGGTCAAAATAACCTCAGGGCAATCTACAAAACAGGAAAGACGAAAAGTAGCATTTATGAATTGGCTGATAGGTCAGAGCTTAGCAAGAGAATAGCATTGCTGTGTTTCAGAGTACTTGGAACCTGAGCTTTGACAAAGGTTGGTCACAAAAGCTTGATGCATCTTGCAGGGTTGGAAACTGGGCTATACAAGAGTAGTTCTCTCTGGAGCATGGTAGAGATTGGCTCAGAATTTTGAGCAAAGAGACAGGCAGGCTGGTGGGAGCAGTTCATTTCTCAGTACTTCTCCTTGCAGAGACATTGAGAGACTGAGACCTGAGCAGCATTGATGTACAGCTTTAACAAGGGTTGGGTTGTCCCTTCTGAATTTAATGTGCCTGTTTCTTTTGGAAAGGTGCCAGCTGGGATAAGGTATGTGCCAAGATTACCCTGAATTGAATTGGATTTTTATAGTGCTCTTTAGTGTTCCTGTCTCTCCAGTGAGTAATGGGTTTCATTAGCCATTCTGGAGTGGCTCTGAATGGGAAAAAGCACCACCAGTACCTGTTACTGTGCAGCAGGGGGATGTTGCACCACAGTGGTAATGCTCCATTCTTCTCAGTGAGTATTAAGAGATTTGTTTGATCTAGTTCCCTCTATCACCAGCTTGCTTCCAAATCAACTTCACAGCAAAAGAATGGACTCCTGTCAGAGGAACAATTCACTTTCTTCCCTTGTAATTATTCCCTGTAATTATTTCTCATGGTATGCCAACATGATATCTAGGCCTTGGAGTGCTAAAGTTGCCATCTTGGTAACAATCCAGCCTACCAGGACCATTCTATTGGTTTGAAGCAACCAGACGGTCCTACCTTAACTGAGGATTCTAACTCTAAGAACCTGCTGAGATCTTAATTACTTTTCATCATTATACTTCAAAATCAAAAGGATGAAAAAATAATCTAAGAGAATAAGCCTTAGAGAATGTCATCTCAAAAATTCACATGATTTAACTGTGTGCCAGTGTCTCAGTCCTATAAACATAGCTACCGAGGAGGTGAAGATCTGAGGATTGTGATTCAAAACCCAGGCAGGAAAGTTCGTGAGACTTTTATCTCCAATGAACCAGCAGAAAACCGGAAATGGTACTGTGGCTTAACGTGGTAGAGCACTGGCCTTGAGCGCAAAAGCTCAGAGACTGTGCCTAGGCCCTGAGTTCAAGCCCCACAACCAACAAGAAAAAAAAGCACATAATTATGTTACCAATCTAGTCTTTTAAAAAGAATAGAAGTACGATGAGCTAAAAAAATTAATCTGATCTAGCTATGCTTTAGGAAACCCCCAGGTCTGAGGGAGTATGGCCATAAACTTACTATGTTAAGATGTAACAGGAAATTATCCTTTAGAAAGAGCCAGAATGCCTAGCCTTCCAGTCCTGACCAGCATGGGCTACACAACCACCAAAATTCCTGAGCCTCAGTTCCATTTCTATAAAATGGGTTAATAGATGTGAACTTCTTGGATTAAATGAGGTAGCCATTCACAACAGAACACCAAATCTATAGTACTCACTTCCTAAGTGCAACATGGATAAAAAAGGCAGTGGGTTTTGAGCTTTTTAAAATCATGGACCGAAAGCACCTATAATGTAAGCTGAATGTGTGTGAAGAGCAAACAGGCACTAAAAGATATTTGGAATGATTAAGTTTATATCCTTCTTGGAGATCAAGATTTCCCATTCTATGATTCTTCCTTGCATCATACCCAACAAATGCATCTCTGGTGCAAGATGTATATAAACAACAATGCCATTATCTTTGTAATAAAATAAAAAAATCCAGCAAACATGGCCACCTTGATCTGAGAGAGAAAAGAAAGGTAGGCAAGTCAATGGAGGCTATACCCAATACCCAAAGAGTAAACGTATCAAACTAGTAATACTGTATGTATGAACAAAACTAAATAAATGACAGGAAACTAGGAAGGAGGTACAAGAAAGGGCAATGCACGAGGGAGAATTTGATCTGAGTACATTACATGCATGTATGGTAATAGCACAATG